AATAATAATAATAATAATAATAATAATAATGATAATAATAATAATAATAATAATAATAATAATAATAATAATAATAATAATAATAATAATAATGACGATGACGATGATGATGATGATGATGTTGATGTTGTTGATGATGATGATGATGATGATGATGATGATGATGGATATTATAAGGATAGATATAAGGATAATAATAATTAAATATAATAATAAATTATTTAATTATTTTAATATTATTTATAATTGTATATTATTTATATTAAATAGTATTAATTAATAATTAAATTATGTTATAAAAATTTATTATTATTATTTATATATTATATATTATTTATATTATTATTTATTATTATAATAATAAATATTAAATATAATAATAATAATAATAATAATAAATTAAATATAATAATAATAATAATAATAATAAAAATAATTAAAACATTTTCTTTACATTTTTTCTATTTTTTTTCTTCATTAGAATTTCAGGTTTTATAGGTTTATATTAACGAAATAATAATAATAATAATAAAATAGTTAAAATATTTTTCTTCATTTTTTTTTCCATTAGAATTTCAGGTTTTATAAATCTATATTAGAGTTCCAAGTAATGAAAATATTTCGATGAATAGCACGACGAAGATTTATAGCTTATGGAAAAGTAAGATATTTCATTATTAAATTTTATTGATAATCTTTGTTGGTGGTAGGGGTAAAATAATTATACAATATATATATTCTCGATATACAAAGAAATAAATGTTATTAAACGGAATCATTATATTGATGACGATTAGTAGGTAATAGTATAATTTGTTTGTTAACGGGAATAAAATAATTTTCCTATTGATCATTTTGTCCGAGAATTAAAAGAAAAAAAAAGAAAATAAATACCATTGTGATTCGTGATGCAATTAGTTTGATGGGGAGGGGAGGGGTGATGGTAAAGGGGATAAAATAACTTTCGCGTTTGATCATTTGATCGAAGAAAAAAGAAAAGAAAAGAAAAACAATTTGATTTCGTAGGATCAGATAAATGATGGAATTTGTTGGCGGAGGTTAAATAATTCTTCTGGTTTAATCATTGGGTCCAAGAAAAAGAAAAAAAGAAGAGAAAAAAATTGACTTCTAATAGATCAGATTATAAACGGAATTTGTATGGTGGGGATAAAATAATTTTCCTAGTGACTTTCAACGTTGTTACGTTCAAAGTCGATAGTATAACTATTTCAAGGGGCACAAAAGAAATAAATAAAAAATTAAGAATAAATATAATATAATAAAATAAAAGTAGTCCATTGTTCGCGTTTATTTTATTTGCATATTTTATTATTTTATCGATGAAAAATTGAAAAATTATAATTTGTAAAATTAATAGAAAAATTCTTTCTGGATACTAGATGATCAATTTTTGTTTAAAACAGTCATAACACGAAAAAAACAAACACTCATATATACGTATGTATGTATTTTTTATCTTTCAATTTATTAGAATGCAGCTATTATAGAAAGATATAAAAAAAAAGAAAATCAAAAAATATTTTTGTTCTACAATACTTGAAATCAAATTTTAATTTCGTTCTTGCGAATTCATACATTTACCTAGTTATTTAGTTGTGTTGTTGTTGTTGAAACAATGAATTTAAGTATATTATTATTATTTATAATGATTACGTGTATTTTTTCCCAGTTATTTCACGAATTAACTGAATTATACGTTTTAAATGTCTACACATACATGTAGAAAAAAGAAGAAAAAGAAGAAGATGAAGAAGAAGAAAAATAAATATATAAAGAATGAAAGAAAGAAATATTGATTCAAAAAGGTTTTATAAGTATCTTAGACAGTGGCAGACAAACAGGCCCGTCTATATTATTGACGCCTTCTGGCGCCTTCAGGGCTCCAAGCGTGGAGAAGAAAATTATACTCTTTTCTAATCTACGAGCTGCGAAAGTGGTCCCCGATATGATGGATGTTTGTAAAAAGAAAAGAAAAATAGAAAGAAAAAAAAAGATTCACTCTCCTCGAGTATTTTCGTTCTTTCTATTTCTTTATTTTTTTTTTATTTTTATTCCACTTCGTTCTTTTGTTCTTTCTCTTTTTTTTTTTTTAATACCATTGCATATATTCATCACACGTACGCATACGTAAAAGCAAATTAAATAAACTTATTTATTATACAAATTATGAATGTGTATTGTATATTTTGTAGTGAGTGAAATAATTGATATTTTATTGTAATGCATAAGCCTTCCTAATTGTTATATGAAAAAATTTCATTTTAGAATTAGGCAAATTAATTTTTAAAATTGATATGCATTTTATTGTAGAAATGCATGATTTTATTGTTATATAATTCTATATTTTAGTTAAATGCTAAACAAAGTGGTGTAAATCGTTTACTTTTTATATATATAGAATAATAATAATATATATATATATATATATATATATATATATATATATAGAATCATATCTCTATTATAAGATTTAAACGATGTTAAAAATTGTAATTAATTTTTTTGAAATAGCATTACAAAAAAAAAGAAAAAAAGGTTTCTCGACACACATTTATATAAACTTCTTTCGTGTCAAGGTGAAAGATGCGTGTCTATTCCGGTTACAGGGCAAACAAAGACGTCTTTAAGATATATTTTCAGGATATCTTTCACGCATCGCCATCATCATCATCATCATCATCATCATCATCATCATCATCATCATCATCATCATCGAGAAAACGCTTATGTTAGACTTCTCTCTCTCTTTCCATCGACTAAATTTATAATACTCTTATATTTACATCTATCAAATCTGATCGAGAAGAAATTTATAGTATACTAAACGATCATATCAAAAGATACTTGGATGTGTTTATCATTTATATAAAACGTTGATTATTAAAAAATAAATTAATCTCAATTGCTTTCAGACACTACACCGTACCGTTGGATCATCCTTGTTTTCTACAAAAATAAAAATAACTAAAAACAAAGTAAAAGAAAATTTACACGTGCATAACAAAAAAGAATTTATTAAACGCAACAAAAACGTGTATTTGAATTTGGA